TTCACAACACACACACACACACACATACTCACACACACGCACGTGCGCGCACGCACACACACATACTCACACATTCTCTCTCTCTCCTCATTTTCCCCCCTACTTTCGCCATCCCCACCCCCTCCCCAACTCACACACACACCATTGTAAACATTATAATATAATGTTAAAGAACTAAAATATGGTAGTGTCAAGAAACAAAGCTACGAATAACGTATGATGGAAGTTACTGAAACTAATACTAATAGAAACTGACTTGATTGGCACAGAAAAAGAAACACAACTAGATATCTATCCTAGAAAACAAACTGAAAGTGTATGATGACAAAAAGTCAATTGATACTGTACCAGTACCAGTGACGCTGCCCCATGCAGATCAAGTCTACAATCAGATACTATACTAAGCTGGACAAAGTTAGCACATAACCGTTTCCAATCATTATAATTATATCATCAAACGTTCTTCATTGCACTTCTCAGTTCTCAGAAGAAAACACTGTTGTAACAAAGTGGGGAAGTGTGTCAAACGCTAATTATAGAACTTGGTGTCTTGCTGGGGTGACGGTGGAAAGGGGGAGGGAAGGGAGGGGAAGGCCTAACTGTTCTCGGCCCAGATTGTGACAGCAGAGTGCCTATCGCTCCTCGTGGGCCAGGTAAGTTTTTAGTGGGGAAAAAGCGATGAATTAATACCAAACAGGAACTATAGGTGGCTAAAAATTCAATAAACAAAAAAAGATTAGTGCCATGCTGACAATAAATGTTCTTATAATAGATAGAGAAAGGCTGAATGATAAATACATGTATTGCTGATAAAATAATACATGTGTCCGTGCTGCTCAAGACAGTCTCATTCTTAATTTTGTAAGCAACACAGAGGCCAATTTGGCAATTAAGGGATGTCCTATTCCCTCTGTGGACTGTCGATGGATTTGCCAAGCGGACTGACGTCATCGCTGAGCGAGCCGTATTCGGTTTGTCCTCGTACGAAGTTAAGCGACGTGACAGGAGACGATTTAACTGTAACTGTAACAGTTGTGAGCCGGCGTGATAAATAAACGCGACAAAACAGCTGTGAATCACTTGTCTATTTGAACGCCTTCAAATCGGCAAGGCGCTTTTTGACTGTTGATACTTGTTTGTTTGGATTTACTTAAAACTGAATGAAAATCATCATCAGCAATAAATCTCTTGTCAACTGTCCAGTTAACAAAAATTTGACCGGCACCGCCGGTCTTGTCCAGTTAACAAACCGCCCCTGGTTGTCTCCCACCCCACCACACCCTTAAGTGACAAAATTTTTGAAAATCCTCCCTTTATGTATGTAGTTCATGTACAGCCTTAGAATACTTACATAACCTTATAATGGTAAAATCCTGAGTTTGAAGGATTACAGCAAACTGCTTAAATCCTTCAGTAAATCAATCGCCTATATATCACACCAGTACCACGTGATTCAACCGCCCAAGAGCCCAAGAGCCAGTTTCGCAGCCCGGTGTGGCCTTTGTGATAACAGGGGGGGGGGGGGGGGGGGGGTTGTAACATAGTGCTGCCTTTGCTAACGTCAACTCAGATCGAACCCTATCGATTGCCAGAACATTTTTTCAAGGCAGTCTGCGAAATCTATCTCTAGTTTTGGTAGTGTAGTGGAGAAAGGGCAAGATGGCATCAAAGAATATAACGTTAATACTGACTCGACCAAGTCAGTAACTTGTGGCAAAAGCTATTGACGAACACATTTTTAACAAAGCCTATGGTTGACAGGGAAAGGGCGCTTATTCCACATTTGATACAACTATTGCAAACTATTTTTTAATTTTATCGCGACTTTTCGCGTTTCTTAATTTGCTTCAAGAATAACAAAGACCAAATTAGCTGTCTATATTCTTTAAAGTATGGTAACCAAAGATGTGAATACACAGTGTAATCGAAATGTCCCTGAAATAAGGTATGGTCTATGTGCACATGGATAACCTTGAAAGCAAAACAATACAAGTATCCCCCCCCCCCCCCCCCCCCCCGATGTTCGATTTCTAGAGTGCATGGCGCAACTTATTGTGAAATATCTCCTTACCTGTCGAACATAGATTCTCCAACTTTTGCACAATGACTTATATCAATTTGTCTTAACAGGTGAATATTTTTTCAAACTCCTGCACACTGTATTCTAGAAAATTCCTTTATAAATATAAAAAAATCCCAGTCGAAGGTTTCTACAGATTTTTTAATTTTACAGCTCGGGCAACATCGCTTTTAAAAGCAAGTCTGTCATTTTTTTCTAATCGCAATAGTATACTTGTAAGTATTTTAGTTAGGGAAAATTTAATTTTAGTGCACAAAATGTATTCATTATAAAAATATTTCTTGTGAAAAGTTTTGCTACTAAAAAGTGTCATTGGCGAGCTGTGACGTAGGCATTATGCGTGAATGCAAAATGTTTGCGAGAACAATCACATTTTTCGCATGATGAAGATTTATAGTATTTTAGTATAAATTTATGAAGAAAAGTTTTTAAATCGGGCCTCAATTCTTGTTAGAACAAATTGATACAAACTGATATATGTGCAAAGTATGGGTGACATTGGGTCACCAATCAAAGAGATATTTGAGGATAACTTGCGCCACGAGTTTTTGACCGCACTATAGACCATTCCGACCTGGCTGAAACAAAAACGATCCCGTTGTTACAAACATTCGTTGCCGTTGGTACACGCAGAACAGAAACATCCAGTACAAATTGAACGTTATGATGAATGGTCTTTTTTACCAAGTCCATGGGCCCCAAAACAGTCCTGCCCCACAAGACCTAACCAAATACATGTAACTGAAATAGTTACTCTTAACTTTATAATTACTCGTAAAACTACTATGATTTGCTTTTGTCGATTACTCAAACGCCTAAGCGACCATGGGCGCTCGTCGAGTGGCGTTGATTAACGTGATTCAAACGTCTAGACGCCGTCATGCTGTCACTTTGGCGGATGAATCACGCAGATATCGGTAGGTCTAAACCGCCTATGTCCAGTAACTTATGTAAAAAAAACTTTTTTGTTCTAAAATTTAGTTACAGACCATCGCCCTACATCATATTATAGTAGGCTACATATATCTGAATTTCCAGTCCATAGGTACAAACTTTGGTACTCCTGAAAAATTTGCCTCTTTCACTTTGAACTTAGGCCGTTGAATCACGCGTCTAGCGAAATGCAGCGTTGTGATGTTATCAAAGATTCTCTACTGTTTCAATTGCCCTATCTCGCATCCGAGCGAGACTTGGGCACGACCTTCTCTTAGCACGTGACGCAAACAAACGTTCCAGCCCCGAGTTGATTGAAAGATAACAATTTTATCTGCGAAGGGAGGGAGAGAGAGAGAGAGAGAGAGAGAGAGAGAGAGAGAGAGAGAGAGAGAGAAAGAGAATAGAGGGGGGGAGAGGGAGAGGGAGAGAGAGAGAGAGAGAGAGACCCCCAATGGCCAGAACATGGAACATACGCAGAAATCCCCTCGGGCCAGAAGCGTCAGGCTAATCGACTGAATTCGTTCGTGTAGCAAACCGCAAGCCACCCCAGATCGGGCGGCTAGCCACTCCATATAAAAATTTTTGTTGCGACTTCACAGATCCAAAGCACTTTTCTTTTCCAAGAAACGCAGTTTATCTGTAGACTAATTCCTCATTGAAGGTTTGGTAATGCTGCTGAAAGATGGCTCAAAGAGATGGATCCACTTGATAGGAGAGCACAAAATTGCAATATTCCTTCACACATTTCCCAGTCTCCCAGTCCTGTTAATATGAAACAGCTGCACAGCAAAAACAAAAATTGAAGGAGAAAGTAATGGTTGTGTCGTGTCACAACCTTGTCTGGAGAATTTTTTATATCTTTTAAAATTGTTTTTATTTTTGCTCAGTAGGCAATACATTACACATAACTGCATAAAATACCCCCCCCCCCCCCCAAAAAAAACTTCACACATCATGCACACCCATACAAATACAAATGTAAAGAAGGAACAAACAAAAATGTATAAACTCTGAATTTTTCTTTCAAAACCACAATGGCCTTGAGATTTGACAGCAGATATACCAGAGCATACAATACAAATCTACAATCAAACTCTCATCACCCCCCCCCCCCCCCCCCCCCCCCCCCCCATCCCAAAACCCAGCTGAATCTACATTGAAAACCTTCATTATTATGATAAGCAAGTGTTATCCTGATATCAGTGATGAAATAAAGGGATCCTGATGTTCAAATATGTAAGGAATCAGTACTTCAACAAAGCGTCTAGTAACATTCATTCTTATAACAACACCCAGCCAACAAAGACAGAGGCAAATAGCCCCAACACATCTTGAATCAGTCTTCCAACACATACAATTCAAAGTCCACTCAGAGAGAGAGAGAGAACGAAAAAAAGAAAATAATATGCAGTGATAAGCAAGTCATAGGTCCTTGATGATATTCTCCAGTTCATCCTTTGTAAACATGCGAAACAGGCTCCCAGGAGTGACAGTACACATCTGAGAAAGAGAAACAAAGAAATGTGAGTGGGAGAGCAATGTTGAGCAAAAATGGTGCTCAACAGGTGATGGCAGCAAAAATGAAACTCACTTGTTTTTATTTTAGTAAAGGGTTTTACGGCGCTCGCAACTACGTACGGTCATATGAGAACGCGAAATAAGTTGGTTTCATTCTCAATAGTTCACCACACGGTTTTGTTAAAAATTGAGTGTAAATATAGATTTTTAATTTAAACAACTTTCTAAATAACATTTAAAAATTTCAAACAATTTCATTTACAACTTCCCATTGAGGCCAATGGCCTTCATAAAATCCAAAATTCTTTTAGGATCAACGACGGAAAACAGATCTTGTAATTTTTTGCATCTAAAATATTTCCTTCGGGTCTCTCCAAAGTCCAGACATCCTGTTAAAATGTGCCTAATGGTAAAATCTGTGTCGCATCAGACACAGAAAGGCTTCTCATCTCCCTGAAGGAGGTATTTATGTGTCAGGGCCGTGTGTCCAATGTGTAATCGAGTAAAAATGACTTTGTCTCTTCTGGAGAGGCCCGAAGGTTTCCGTGGACCCAGTTTGGGCTTGATGTTGTGAGTTTGTTGTTAATTTGATTTCTCCAATGAGTCTCCCGCAAACTGGAGGTGTAGTTTTTTACCTTATCTTTAAAGTCAGTCTGTGGGAGAGTGTTCGTCCTGGATCCCACCAGAAGGGATAAGGACTCCTTCGCCAGGAGATCTACCTTCTCATTTCCTCGGATGCCCACATGGCTAGGTAGCCATGTGAAAACGATACTTTTCCCGGTTTCAGTCAAGGCATGTATTTTTTGTTGTAACCTGACTATTTTTAGGTGTAGGAGTGTGTAGTTTGTAAGTGAGGTGATGCATGACGGAGAGTCAGAAAGGATAAGGAAAAATTTGTTAGGAAAATTTTCTACGGAGTCTCAATGGCAGTGGCCTCCGCAGAAAAAATGGAGGCTTCGGAATGGAGTCTCCTCTGGTAGCCTCCTCTGGTGTGTACTGTTTGAAGATAGGGTTGGGGCGCCCAGAGCAGAGTCCGATTTAGAGCCATCTGTGAAGATTAGCTCCACACCAGGGTATTTTTCTATAAGTAAAAGTATTTCTTTTAAATGATTCTTTATAAACATATGTATAATATTTCCATGATTTCGAGGAATGAGTCAGGACAAATTCCCAGGAGCTAAATCGTTAAGCTTCAAGGTAAATCGAAAAAAGAAACAAAAGCGGATTTTCTCCTAATAAAAGGCAAGCCTAATAGGAAGCAAAAGACAAGTGTAAATCTGAGTAGGCATTCAGACAACCACAGACACAAACACAATAGAATCTGTATCACAAGCATTATTTTTTTTAGTCAGCTGGTAAGGGGAAATCACTTTTCACAGTAGTGCTGGGTGGTACCGGTAAAATTGAATTTTCGCACTAGCAGGGGGTGCTGAGTACCACCAGTACCGATACTGGGATACAATGATATCAAAGGTTCTTTGCGTTTATAGCAGAGATGCCAACCACAGAAAACCGAAATGAGTATTGGGAAATATGAAATTGTGTATTTTCAGGGGAGAATGTGTATTCCCCACGACCGACCAACTAGTAATAGTAAAATTTACTAGCTCACCAGCTCGAAAAAGGGAGCACACACGCGTACAATATACATGTATCCAGTCAACAACATGTCAGTGTTCAATGTCGTACAGGGGTCTTGTTTGACTTAAGTATTTCAATCTATTATATATTTTCCTCTCATTATTATATAAAAAATAAATCCTGCTTTGAGAGTTCATATAATATAAACTTATTTTGTTGCAAGTGCTAACTCTTTCGAAAACATAAGATAGTTTTAGGTATGAACAGAACGCTTTGGCTGCAAGCGTAAGTGTATGCGTGGTACCGAAGCTCGATCTACTTTTGCTTTCTTTACCACCCAGAAATTTGCCGGTAGCAGTCTGATTAACACAACATTTGTAACATGCAGGTTGTGCATTACAAACGCTGTGTCGCCAGGAAAATAAATATTTGTCCTGTGCTTTCACTTGCGGAAAAAAAAGAAAGTTATACAAGCGTCTTGTCGGGCTCGACATCGTGACCGGTCAGTGAACCTGTACTTTCGCATCACATTGTGAGTACCAGTGATCGTTCGGGTCACCAAAGTTCATTCAACGTGTGCGTTGCGCGAAGTCTGGAATAGGGGGATTATTGATTTTTTTTTTAAAGGTACAGTCGAGGGGAGAGGTGGGGTTGAAGGCAACATCGGATGACAAAAACTGAACTTGGAAGCAACTTTTAGTATTTAGAATTTTGATTATTACTAGAGCTTCCTGCTACGGAAAAGCGTGCATTGGTGCAAGCCCTGTACGGAATTGGGATCCATCATACTCATACCTAGTAAGCCGCGTTTTTTAACCAAAAGGTCCGCGTTTCTTTGGATGGGTAACAGTCAAGGATCCCCTTGTTTCATTGTCCTATGTTTTAAGAGAGGTATGACCTCATCAAGAGCATACGTTTTTAATTCTCATTCTCTCTCTCTCTCTCTCTCCCTCTCTCACTCGATCACACACACTCTCTCTCTCTCTCTCTCTCTCTCTCTCTCTCTCTCTCTCTCTCTCTCTCTCTCTCACTCGATCACACACACACACTCTCTCTCTCTCTTCCTTCCTCTCTCTCCCTCTCCCTCTCTTCTGAGTCTCGTTCTCTCTCTCTCTCTCTCTCTCTCTCTCTCTCTCTCTCTCTCTCTCTCTCTCTCTCTCTCTCTCTCGTGATAGTATTACATGTTTTGTAAACATCTATATTTTAGCTTTTTGTTCCACATTCGCAGATTTTCAGTGTCACTTCATTTAGCTCTCCCTTGGGAAAGATGACAGGGGGTAGATTGGAGTCATTTTTTTATTTAGTGTCCTGCTCAACAGCACACACAAAAAGCGGAGTGAAAAAGGAAAAAGGTCAAGGTCATGAAGGGAGCGACGCAGTTACCGTGCACCTAGCTCAAGCGCCCCCCCCCCCCCCCCAAAAAAAAAAAAACCCATAAATACCCGGTTACCGTGTTCGTAGATAATGAGAGGCGCCCGGTTACCGGTTACCGTGTACGTAGATATTGAGGCTACGTGCCCGGTTACCGTGTGTGTGACATTGAGATTACACGGTGAAAAAAAGGAAAAAAGTCAACGTCATGACGGGAGCGAAGAGTTACCGTGTGTGCACCTAGCTCAAACCCCCTCCCCCGAAACTAAGTACACGTTTACCGTACGTGCCCAGTTACCTTGTACGTAGACCCTGAGGCTACATGCCCGGTTACCGTGTACGTAGACCCTGAGGCTACGTGCCCGGTTACCGTGTACGTAGATCCTGAGGCTACGTGCCCGGTTACCGTGTGTACGTAGACACTCCGTTTAAATTGTGGGTGTCATAAAAGGAAGAACTTCCGAGTAATGAGCGACCACCCCAACAAACACTATAAAGAAGAGACCTAACCCTAACCCAAACACTACCCCTAGACCTACCCCATAAAAGAACCTGCAATGGCCCTCATGTAAAAAGGCCAGCACAAGTCAACAACAAAAAAAGCATACTCCAAAACAAACAAGGAGCATATTATTATAATGGCCTACATTGCTATAATAGGGTTTGATACAATATAGTACAATAGAATTGGAATATAATTCCCCCATATAGATCTAGATCTAGACAGTGCCGGATTAAGACCCAGTTGGCCCCAAGGCACACTTCACTGAGAGGCCTGAAAAAGTTATATATGGTGCAAAGTCCCCCCCCCCCCCCAAACCACTTTAACACACACAGACACATACGCTCGCGCGCACGTGCAAATTCAAAACTACACACACAACACACACATGCACGGTCTGTCTGAGTGTGTGTCTGTCTGTCAGCCATTCCAAAGTTTTACAGTATGGAATATTGACAACATACCAGAAAGATAATGTAACTAAGGTCTCACAACAAAAAGATTATGCATTATTTCTTACCTAGATTGCCACTTTGCGTGCTTTTGCAATAGCTGACATAAGGTAAAACAATGGTTAACTGATCAGAATGCGTAACATCATGAGTAGAATCTATGGAGACTGAAAAGTACCTTGCCTTAGAAATTTCGTCCTTGATGAGGCCAAGAACATGCTTGCCTAATAGGGTTAATCAATTCTGTACAGGTTGTTTTTGACAGGTATGAAGTGTGTCCACGTCCTTGGTTGGCATGAGTTTTGATATGCTCAGATAAAAATGGATCAAACTGCCCAATTAGTTTTAAAATTCCCAGGTAGTTCCTATTGTCCTTGGACCCAACGATTTCATAACTGCCTTGAAAAGCCAGCCCTCTCTCACAAAGAAAAATGATTGTCTTAATACAACGTAACAAAATGTTTTTCCAGTATTTTCGTTGTTCCAGTAAGTTTTGGTGTACCGCTCGTCAACTCGCCCAGCAGCTACACTACGTTGACATAGAGTCAAGACTGAGTTTATATGTTTGGGACTTGTTTCATGTGTTTTTAAATAGTTGGTTATATTCTTCCAATCTGTAAACCCTTGACCAGAAAGATGTACACGGTCTGGCGAAAACAAAAAGCAAGGGAAACAGAAAACATAGGGTCTGGCTGGAGATTATACGAGCCAGTCACGATCGACTACTTCTCCATTTGACAAAACACGTTTGAATGCACTATTATTTAAATACCGATTCATGCCAGAAAAGTCTCGTTTTGTTTCTGGATAGTCACTGGCCAAATTCCGAAACTGGTTTGCTCAGCAAATTATGCACATTTCAAGCACATGGTCCGTTAATCCTAGCAGACGCTGAGGATATAAACATGCACAAGAAGAGTACATTATGAAGAAACGTGGTAGGGCCTATGTTGTGGTAGTGATGATGGTGGTGGTGATGCTGCTTCTGCTGCTGCAGTTGTTGTTGTTGTTGTTTGTTGTTATTGTTGTTGTTTTTGCTGTTGCAATGGTTTGCATTATATTATGTCGATGCTGGTCTCTATCAGCATCCTAAATATTGTATATTATTGTAAAGTACTAGTTCGTATATTGCTACTGACTGAGATCAGAATGCGGTCATACTGCATGGCCACTGCCAAAGCTGCAGTCTAAAAGACCTTCTCCCACACATATACACGAACTCTCCTGTCTTTTTCTCCCCCCTCCTTCCCCTGCCCCCAATCCCACAAACTCTCACTTTCCCGTTGTGTTTCTTCATTTTCCTGTTGTTAGTAGGAAGAAAAAATTGTTTCCGTAATTTAACACCTAGTTATATCAACATATGAATAGTATTAGTATTGAAAATAACTATCTGACCCACCGTTGCTTAGACTAGCAATATGTAAGTCATAAGTCACAAGGCATTTATAATAAAGCGCCCACTCCAGAAGATCTGCTTTGAGGCGCTACAATTTGGATCAGTTGAATATTTTCTGGAAAAGAAATGTCTTGACGTGTCGCTTGAAAGAATCCACAGTCTCAACATTTCTTATTGTTGCTGGCAGTGCGTTCCATAAAGATGGGGCTGAAACACTGAAAGTGAAACCCCGATTTCCGATTTTTGTTCTGGCATTTCTAGTTGACAATCTTATGTGTTTAATGTCTTGTGTTTCTGAAGGATGCTTGCACATTTATGAGTTCTGTGAGATAGGATGGTCCAATATCGTGGATTGCTTCAAAAGCTGAAAGTATGATCTTTAAGCAAACCTCACAAGCAACTGTTAAGTCCGGAGTTTCGGGGAGGGGGAGATTTGGAGGGGATAGGGTTTAGGCCTAAAGGAGGGGTTGCCATTAAAAAATATATAAACACTGCGCTACTAGACTTTGACTAGATTTATCTAGATCTAGGTCTATTCTGCGTTTTATATTTTTCATTTGGAATCTGGACACAAATCTTTTGTAAATTTGCTTTAAAAAATTAAATAAATAAATAAAGAAATAAAAGAAAAAACTAGATCTAGCACAAAAAATAACTTTTTACATGTATAATAATGTTGGCATCCCTTCCTGTCCCTTCCCTTGCTTATAATATCTTGGCTTAATAATACATGTCAGAATTATTATACAGATAGCCTACCTTGATTTTTATTTATATGGGGGGTTTTGTAAGCACAGTTCACCTTTCACCTCATGTGCACTTAAAAAACTCTCGAATTTGGCATAAATTAGGCTAGAAATGTAGCATTCACAGGCTTTTGACTCCAGCAGGGCCACAACTTCGGAACTGTTATCTGGGTTGCTAGGTGTCTGGTGACTTAAGAGGCCAACGGTGCTTGATTTGGAACCCACGGCTAATGATTCAACTTAATTTTAGAAAAAAATGTGGCATAGACAGAGGCCAAACAAAATGTCACAGCCCTTTCTGAACTAGGCTTGGGACTAAAAACCCAGTCGGACTCTGGCCTGGGCTAGCTTAGGGCTATTCTATTTGTGGCCTCCCCGACCGGCCTTGCTGCGACCTGGTCAAAACGGGGAAAAAACGAAAAAATGTGGCCTTGTTGTACCCTATCTCTGGCCTGTTTGTGGCCTATTTTTTTGAGTGGCCCCAAGGCAATTGCCTTATTTGCCTAATGGTTAATCCGGCACTGGATCTAGATCTAGTTATAGATCTCTCTAGTAATCTAAATAAATCTAGATCTAGATCTAAATCTAGATCTAGATCTAGAATATCTAGTAGAACAAGTGAATAGGAATAGGCCTTGAACGAGAAATCCGCATCCGATTCCAAACAGACGGACTCGGCTGAGAATTCTAAATCTCTAGATAGATTCTAAGTTAATAATTCACGCACCTGATGAAATGCGTTTTACCAACATTAAATATTACAGCACAGCCTATAATACAGTTTGACACAAAAGAATTGGAATATGAATCCTCCATTGAGGTCTATAATGATCTATAAATCTAGATCAAGAGTAGAACAAGTGAGTCATACTTGAATGAATCCACATGATCTGAACAACCAGTAAACAAACGAAATTCAAAATGGCCGCTCGAACACGAAACTGAAAGTAAATAATTTAGGTCGTCGTACTTTTTCGTATTCGTATTTCTAATCAGATTCCGACAATTATGTCGGAAACGCCGACGTCGGCAGTCGGTACGAAAACGAGAGTGCCGACAAAGCCGACGGGAGAAAAACGGGGGAGCTGGCAGTCGGCCTGGCCTCGCACTTCGCACATAGACTAATACAGGTGGGCCTAGCGATAGCATCGGCAGGCTCGCGGGTCGGGTCGCGATTGTCGGATTTCAGACAATTGTCGGCAAACATGCAGGTCTATAACTCAGGAGGGCCTAGAACAAGAATTTGGAATATCAAGAACCAGTCTGGGTGTCATCATTCATATTATGAACTGACAGACTCAAATTATTGCTCAAACTCAGAGAACAGAAATAACTTGAAAGGCTCAAGTAGACCAGTGCACTGTGAGAGTTGTAACAACTGTGGGAGGGCAAGATGCAGTGACACTGAAAATCTGCCAGTCCTGAACAGAAAGCTACAACATACACCGTAGGTATAATTTACTATCACCCATCCAAGTAGATCTAGGTATAATTTACTATCACCCATCCAAGTAGATGTAGGTATAATTTACTATCACCCATCCAAGTAGATCTAGGTATAATTTACTGTCACCCATCCAAGTAGATGTAGGTATAATTTACTATCACCCATCCTAGTAGATCTAGGTATAATTTACTGTCACCCATCCAAGTAGATGTAGGTATAATTTACTATCACCCATCCTAGTAGGTATAATTACTTTCACCCATCCAATGAAACGCGAACACTTTATTTCAATAACACAGACTTGCAAAGTATGAGGGGTCCCGATTCCGCACACAGCCTGCACCAACGCGAGCTTAGCAGAAAGCTGTAATAAAAATTCTGAAATGTGCTTCCAAGTTTTTGTCCTCTGGTGTTGCCTTAAACACCCCCCCCCCCCCCCAACCCCAAAAAATCAATAATCTCCTCCCCTATTCCGTAGTCATATACTTCGCAACGCCGTTACTCCCACCAAAGACGGTCTTTACTCACACGATACCGTATTTATTTATGACGCGAATGCGCGCAGGATCAGTGACCGGTCACGATGGCGAGCAACACAATCTAAAAATCGGACGACGCTTGTATTTTCTTTTCTTTATTTTCCCACAAGCGACAGCCAAAGCGACGAGTCCGAGTGTTTATTACATTTTATTTGCACGGCGACATTGCGTTTATACTGCACAACCTGCATGCCACAAATGTTGCGTTATCAGACAACTGCTGGCAAACTTCTTGGTGGTATTGAAAGCGAAAGTAGATCTTGATTTTTCCGATCGAGCCTCGGTGTCACATACGCTTCCGCCTGCCGCCATAGCCGCCTATACGCGTGAAAGTAAAACGTACTCTCCGGACAAGGAAAAGCTGAACGAATATAATATCACGATCGCGACCTGCAAAAATGAACTTACTGACCTTATCGAACTTGGTTTTCATATACAGTATTCCAGTTCTGCGATACCGATACTATTTTAAAAGATGGGACTTGAGATAATTAGGTTTACTCGCCCAAGCTGAATCTCGTATTTTTCCCATTCCAGGATGCGTATTTTTTCATGAAAAGTCGTATTCGCGTATTTTCAGCAAGAAATCGTACTAAAATACGTAAAATCGTACTGGTTGGCATCTCTGTTATAGTTTCGTCTACTGTCTCTTTTTTTGTCATCAGCCAGTCCCCTCTGTCAACACGAACAGCACAAGCCATCAAACACGATCTACATCACATTTGGCTAACGCGAGCTGGGACTCAGAATCCCATAGAAATTTGCTGCTGTCCCAGATTGAACTTTGCAAGCAACATCTTTAAAATAAGCTGATGCTGGCTCCTTCCCAGTACCATTATCTGTCTCTCTAATTAAGAAAGATAGACCTGAGGGAAAGACGAAGGCCTCGAAAGACTTACCTCTACGTTAGTGGAGTTCAACTTCTCTTCCATCACTTGTTTCAGTATGGTCAGTGCTGAGCGGCACGCCTCCTTCAAGGTCATAGACTGGAAAAAAAATTTACACAATGACTGACTCTCCATGAGCATATATATACGTACAACTGGTTTAACTTCAGAAAATAGTTACGCAATCAGTGAACATACTACTGCAGAGCTACATATATCCTGGTGCTTGGGAGCAAGGAAAATGTGGGATCTTAGGCGTATGAGATCTTGTCTTAGCCAATTCACAAGGGGTAGAATCCACATTGAGTAGTGACCACACCAATCAAAATCCTGTCTGTCTAGCAAATATCAGACGAAGACAGCTGTAAAGGTCTTGGAAACAAAAGTATAAACGAATTCACAGTTCCAAGTGATCCAATCTGATGCAGCCTTGTTGTAGGCCCTGCCCTAGCACCCACCCAGCATCTGAAGTAAGTTCAAGAGAAGGGCTAAAATGCAGGGCGATGTTTGGAGAAAACAAACATGTTAACAAGCTCGCACCTTTTTTTCACACAAAAGTAAAAAACGAAGAAGAATAAAAAAAAAAGTAAAGTTGTTCCCGCATCTGATCTGGACATTGGGGATTGCCTTGTTAGAGAGACAACTTCCTGGGCCTTCGGCATATTGTGGTAGGGTGGCCAGTTCCTTTCCACGCCACCTTTTTACTTCCCCAACTCCAAGTCAGGTACCCATTACTGCTGGGTGAGCAGGAGGAGGCGAAAAAAATCTATCTGAATTGCGGCTCGAACCCGGACTTTCCGCCACCGCACCCTCTGAAGAAGATTATGATATTAAAATGCAGAGAACCTGAGCTTACATGTAGCATCAAAATAAAAATATCATTCCTTTTTCTTCAGGTACTATTGTTTGCTAAAATGATGCCTCATTCAAAAGCATTCGTTAATTTATTTTTTTACATCTCTGCTCCACTACTGTTGTGTGAGGCCTCACTTCATTTGTGATAAATCAGACAGATCCTCACAAACAATGTAGCATATATGCAGGACAAATAAGCATTTGGCAAGTTCCCATAGCCTTTGCAAGAAATGCTAGAGTAAAGTCAGTATTTGCCGCCGGCCGAACGATGAGACCACTTTCCTCATAAAGTAAATAACTCAGGTCTAGTTTTGTTTTCGAAACGGAAACCAAACTCCAGTGATGCACTGGCAAGAATCACATGTTTACAACGAAGAAGGCTTTAACAGAAACTAGGTTTGAGAGTGGCAGTAGTTTGAAGGATTTGGTCTATCAAAATATCCCAAAATGAAAATTCGACCATGTTCATTACAAAGCTTTCTTTTCATATTTTTAAAATTCAATTAAAGGTTCATGTAATTGAGTAATGAACAAATCATGTGTAAATATCTAAACATAAAGAAAGCAAGTTTCGTGGGTGGTCTCCCCCCGCCGGGCATGGGTCACACCTTCATAATTCGCTACTATTTCCTCCATGCTGCAGCCCTTTCGTTCATGGCCACGGACGACGCCCTTCGAGCAGTTCAACTTCTGGTATCGCTCAGAAGTACATTGAATACCGCCGAATGTCGTTGTGTTCAGGAGTTTGGCCACTTCAGTCTCCAATTTATCCATCCCCCCCTGGGTGTTGCTACTGACTGAAGTGTCTTTAGGCCATTCCCAAAGGAGTTCACCAGAGAACCTATCGTAGTCTAAAAAAGATTTAGATCAGTGATCTTACTCCGTGCGTCTTTTGCACTGGAAATGGTCATGTACGGCTGCCGCGGAAACTCCGTGGGAGATGGGAGTGTAGAAGCAGCGGTAAAGGTCCTTTTACCATTTTGTTTGCTAGGCCCGGCGGCCACATCTGCTTCCGCGAGCCGAGACTTCTTATCAATGTTGGGAGCTGGGGAAGGGTCTTTTGAGAGTGAGGTTTCCATATGTGTTTGGATGGTGTTTCGACTCCGGGGCTCCCCACCCGCCATCGAGCCCAACAAGGGGACACATAGCTCTGATGTCTAGCTCGGATGACCAGAGCTGTGACAGGGCTTACTCTTCACGAGAGCGTACAAGACCCTCCCGTCAAGATTGACTGAAGGACCTGTCCTCGTCCATAGGTAGGTTGGGGAATGCTGGAGGGGTAGGGGGGGGTGGGGCAGACGGAGGGGGCTAGGGAGAGGGGGGAAGGGGACACCTCACACTCCATCAGAGGGGTGGAGCGAGAGGAAAAAGGGATAGAATAGGGGGGGAGGGGAAGAAGAGGGGGCAGAGGAAGAGTCCGCCCCATCCTCCCCTAGTACCCCAAAGCGGTTAGAAAGTCGCACCTCAAAGGTGGGTGCCACAGAGGTAGGAGAAATTTGTTAAGGCAGTATTTTACCAAAAAGCAACGGATATTAGGAAATTATTGACTTTATATATGCACTTCAGTGAATGTGCTCACTATAGCGTCATTTGGCTTCGGAAAGTCCCATAGACTTTTGTTTCCGGACACAACGTCTCATCGCGACAGTGGGTTCAAACTGCCCATATTTTTGTTTAATTTAGGGAACCAACATTCAAGTCCAATACATGTCTTTAAAGACCTGTGGATGACCTTCAAAACGCTTCTTTCCAGGTCGATGTGCTACTAATGAGTCTCGAAATATTTCAAGTTGAAAAATAGACAATTTTTAACCATTGATTTTTGATAAATTTTCTTGTCATATTTTTTTCAAACTACCCTTGTTGGTAAACCATTCTTTGTTCTTCCAGAAAA